TGCCTGGCGGCGGCCCCAGTGCGTGCCCGTGTCGCTAGCGCACGCCTGCTAGCCATGGCGTCCAAACGCGGGAGGGGAGGCTCCTCGGGGAACAAGTTCCGCATGTCCCTGGCGCTGCCCGTGGGCGCCGTGCTCAACTGCGCCGACAACACCGGCGCCAAGAACTTGTACATCATCTCCGTCGTGGGGTGGGGCGCAAAGCTGAACCGGCTGCCGTCCGCCGCCTGCGGCGACATGGTGATGGCCACCGTTAAGAAGGGGAAGCCGGACCTGAGGAAGAAAGGTGTGGCGGGGGCGATCGGCGCCTTGTTTGCTGCCTGTCGTCGAGCCTTTGCCCCCCACCCCACTCTCCCAGCGGGCAGTCGAATCGGCTGGGCTGCTGGTGGCTGTGCGTTGCGTGCTTGCCATTGAGCTCGGATGCCTCTGCTCCATTGCTGAAGGCGTGGAATGCGGGAGCTAGGAATGCTTGTTCCGGAGGGATTGCGCAGTCCATGGCTTCCTTGCCACTGTTGAATGGGAATCTTCTCCCGAGGACGCATTCCATGGCCGTCGGCTCTGCCTCTGGGTGCTGCCGTTTGGCAACAGCAGGAGCGTATGGTCGCTCCGTCCTGATAGTTAGATGAGTACACAGCGTTTTCCGCGTTGTCCGATCCGCGTGCCGAAACACGAATTGCAGCTCGCTTCCCAGATGCCTTCTGCTTCTCCATGCGCTGCCTCTCCGCGCTGCTGATCAACGGGACAGACATTAAGCTCCGCTTGCAGCGCGGCTGGCTGCGATGCTATCCGCCTGATACGCTGGTGGGAGGGAGGCAAGCGCCCTGATTCGATTGCTTTGATTGGTTATTGATCCGGAGCAGTGCTGTCGCAAGATCTGATGGATTGTTGCCTGTCGCAGTGCTCCCCGCTGTTGTGGTGCGGCAGCGCAAGCCGTGGAGGCGAAAGGACGGAATGTTCATCTACTTTGAAGACAACGCGGGTGTCATCGTCAACCCCAAGGGAGAAATGAAAGGTGCTTTGGAAGGGGATTTGTGGGTCTTGCATGGCTCCGTCTTTCGCAAGGCCCTGCAATTGCTGCTCAGGGATAACTGTTCTCCTCACATCGGTGAAGGGGATTTTTTACGGACTTGACACGAGTGGGCTCAGTTCCCTGCCCTGCTGTCAGGCTCTAGCTCGATGCTGATTGCAACAAAACACCAGGGGTCTGCAGTGTTTGATGCATGCCAGTGATGATGGCTTCATAAGGGCGTCTCTCACACACATTCGCAGTGCCCGACCAGAGCTTTCGCCTTGCCGGGCTTGAGAGCTGGTGCCATCTTTCTTCCTTGGAAGGCTGAGGCGTGCATCTCGCTGCTGTTTCCATTGTGTGGAGTGGTGTCTGCTAGAGCAAAAGCGTTTCTGTTGTATTTACGCCTATCTTCACTTCCATGGTGCAGGGTCCACCGATTGTCTCAATGTCAAATTGAAGCAAAGGGAGTAGACTGGTGTTGACTGTTAGCTGACGTGCATTTCATTGTGAGGCAGACTGCAATCCCTTGGCAGCCTGGAAAAGGATCCCTGCACGTGATTCCAGGAGCTGAGAAGAATGGTGGCAGGGCACTTGCGAATATGTTATCGCAGTCTTCCCACAAATCTTGGTTGCAGCTCTCACCCAGCGTTGTGTCCTTTTTCCGCCCTTTTATCAACAGAATGTGTTGTTCGCCAGGATCTGCAATTACAGGTCCAGTGGCGAAAGAATGTGCCGACTTATGGCCCCGAATTGCAAGCGCAGCCAACTCGATTGTGTGAGAGCTGGGAGGTAATTGACAGGTTCAGCACTCAGCTGCATAGTCATTGATTGGGGATCAGCTCTGAATCCAACATCATGTGTAAGTGGGTTAGTCCAGCTTTGTTTTGCGCGCAAGAGTTGTGGGCTGCTGAACTCAAAGCGACACTGTGCTTCTGAATTCACTGCAGCATGCTGGCCATTGCAGTATGGATGATGCATTGGCAGAAGCACTATCAGAGTGCCTCATTCGCTGATTGCTGTGTACACTGTTCTTATGTCAATACATACCAGCATACATAGCTCATGCACGTCTTCATATATATCTTACATATCTGTGCAGATCTGTACACATATGTGCACACCATACCTGTGCAACCTGTTTATGCGATTCCAAAGCATTTCATCACATTTCAATGTCCAGGGGCGTCCCCCATGCTATCACAAGATATGTGGGCCATGTGCCACCCAGCAAGAGAGCACACCTGTGCAGTTTCTCATCCTCGTTGCAGCATACTTTAGTCAGATGGGGGACAGCATATAACTGACGACTTGCTTTTCCGGTGCAAGGTGCACATGGCCATGGACGGCACAGCTGCTGTATTCCCATGCAGATCTTCTGTTTTGGCTGCAACACCTGCCTGGATGTATCTGCAGGATTCCTGCCAGCATTGAAGCCGCATGGCCGGGGCCCTGAAGGCTACCATTAGAGGATGCTTGGTGCCAACTGTTGGAGACGAAGAGGCAGCAGGGCTTGTCGCACGTGGTGTTGTCGATGTTCGTGTTTGTTTGAAGAGGGCAGCAACAAAGGCGTTCGATGGGCAGCAGACTGTCCACTCGATTCGAATGCTGGCGAAGCCTGAGCTTTCAACGTGGTGTGCGCGGTCGTGTAACATACGGAAACGCCCAGCTTCTCTGTGGTCTCGACGTTACTGTCAGGTTTCAAAGTACTGCTACTGGATGCATCAGAGCATCTTTATCGGTGGGTGCTATTGTCCCGGCGGAGCTATTCGGCTATCCGAATAGCATCGCACGTCAAAAAACCATCATTAATGGTTGGGGAGCAATAGCACCCCAATAGCACCCCGGAGCTATTCGGCGCCGAGCGGCGCTATTTTGGCCGCGATTAGCACCGCTCGGGGCCGAATAGCACTCCAGAATAGCGCCGGTGCTATTCGCGCAGAACATTGTAGTGCTGCAGGGATGCTACTCGGCGTAGGCATAGCACCCACCATTGCGGATGCGCGCAGGGGAGCAATAGCACCGGTGCTGTTCGGCAAATGCCACCTTAGTAAGGTGGCACGGCAGCCAATGAGAACCGTTCCTGGATAGCTCCGCCGATGCAATAGCACCGACCGATGAAGATGCTCTCAGTCGTTGCGTGCGTTCAATAAGCCACATGTTGGTCAAGGCCCACAACATGCGTCTCAAGCAGTGACGAACAAGCGCTGACGCGAGGGGATGGGTTCAAACACATGTTTGATGCATGCAAGTGATCCCCGCAGGCCAACATCCCACACGGCAAGTAGAAGATAAATATGATGTGATTCGTAGTATATGATTGTTACAATGCATTGCACAATGCGCATTCCACAACAGTCTTCGCCCGGACCGAGCACGGGCTGCACGCCAGGGGCGAGGGCCTCCCCCGAACGTGCACCCCACATATCTAAAGCGCAGCACATCTCTGCACAAAGCTGTCCTTGGGGTTGATTCGACGCCATTTGCTCTTGAAAACCCCATGGCGACGCCCAAGGAGGTCGGTCACCATGGAACACCATCGCAAGGGCCGCTGGCCCGGAAGCTGCCGGCCTTCATGCAACGTGATCACGAAGATTCCAACTCTTAACGAGAATAACTTGATGGGAGAGGGTTGGATTGGGCTTGAAAGGCTACCTGCCTTCAGCGGAGGGGAAACGGGCTGCTATGCACGAACGGCTGGCAGGGGATGTGCTGCCTGCCCGGAATACGCTCCGCTGAAATCTGCTCAGCACACAAATATCTTCTCCTCCTTGGGCAGGCCCTCGAGCTGCTCGAAGTAGTTGATGGTGGCCACCGCCGTGCCCCAGTCCTCCTCGAAGGTTGTCCTGAGCAGCCGCGTTTCGTTGTCGGCCTGCAGCAGCAAGTCCTGCAGTGGGCTGCCCTCGCTGAGGTCGAGCACCGCAAGGTTGCCCTGCACAGCCGTCATCAACAATCCTTCACCAAAATGTTCTGGTGGTGCGTGTGGGCAGAATGTACACATACAAGTGTTGAACTCTACCAGAATGTACAACCTGCGGTGCAGTGTAACAGCAAAGATCTCCAAGCCAACGATATTCAATACTTGCTGATGAATACTCCCTCTCTCCCATATTAACAGGCTTCTATGACTTTGGAACCTTATTTCTACATCATTGAGACTTCGGCATTCAGTGGAACTTCGTCCAAAGTTGTGTCCCTGAGAATGGAGTGCACGGTCAAACAATCATGTCAGTCTGTCAAGTACTGCAGATCTGACAGCACTTCGTAGGAAGGGTCCTTTACTCAGTGAACATCGAATTTTCGCTCAAAGGCGAACAGGGTTTAGTGTTTCGCCTAGCGCTCAGAGGTCGGGGCTGACGCTTTTCTTGTAAATCGGCATTTATGGTTTTGGATTCTAACCACCGCGATGCTGACATCCTTCTACAGCAAAGGCCCCGTTCTTGTGACGAACTTTATCTTCAAATAGAGGGCAATCAATATGGGGCAGGGGAATATTAGCGAGCAGCAAATTTTCAGTTCTCTGGTTGACACGGTGTATCAGGGCCACCTCAGTGAGATGGCTATAGTTGCCCTTTTCTTAGGGCTTGAAGTTCCGAGCTGTGGACATCTTCTGGGAAAGGATGGAGACATCTTCCAGCTAGCAGGCATGAATTCGCTCTGCACTGTTTGCAAGGCAGCACATGTTCCATGACTACCCTTTTAAGCCGTACTGGCGGCTGCGTTCTCATACCTGACAGTAAGTCTAGAGGCGAAGAATGGCACATTGACCAGGGCTACAGCTTGGCAATTTTGGGTTTGGGGCTCCCAATGTTCTTCTTGAGAAGTAACCATGGACTACAAGAAGATACTGCTGCAGTGCTCAATGCAGCAGCGATATACGACATGAGCAGTGTGTGCTTGCCCCGTTGTGAGCGTCAAGCAACATTTCACAGTTGCGGCTTGGTATTGTTGACAATGGAGCACCAAGTTGCAAGTGTTCACACAGCGATGGCACATGGGCGGTTCACCGCCTAGTGCAAAGGGCAACAGTTGACTTCACAACAGCCTTTCGCTACCGTTTTCCACCGCAAAACTAACAGTGTGCACAGGATCTGATTGACACAAGTTGTATGCTACGAATGCTGCATGGTGGATGGGAGCTGACAATGACATGTGGTCAACACTGCCTTGAGGCATGCAGTAATGTGGCATTGTTTCACTGGTTGCAGTGGTACTGCTGCTGGGGGAAATTCAAGAGGATGCTGCAGCATCCACCACTGTTGGCGCACTGCATATACAGTGGGGGCCCCGGTTTAGCGACCCCCCGTGACAAGCCAGCTGAGGGGTCGCTAAACCAGATGGGTCGCTACAGCCCCCCAGTACTTTAAATGCTTCAGCAGTACTTAACGCAGTTTAGCAGTAGTTTAAGTCCCGCAAGGCGTCCCAGGCAGCGACAACCCAGGACCCAACACGACCAGGACGCCATCGGTAAGGGAGTACCCCGGCCACCAGTGTGGGGGGTACCTTGACCGCCAGTGGGGGGGTACCTTGGCTGCCGGTATAGGGGGTACCCTGTCGTAGTGAAATAAAGTACCTGGAACTGTGACAAGCCGTTCAGGGGGCTGCTACACCTAGACAGGTCGCTAAACAGGGTTGCTAAACTGGGGCTCCCACTGTACTGAGTCATCATGGCTGCCTTGCATGCTTGCTGCTCACCTGAAACCAAAGGAAGTTCCTGAGGTCCATGGAGTGCTGGTCAAACTCCACGTCGCTGCCCTCCTGGCAGAAACCCAAGTTCACTGGAAATGTGTCGTTGTCAAACTTGGGATACGCACGAGCACGGAACAGCATGCCACACTCCCCGCTGGTGTCCTCAACAAACAAATGGCCCTCGTGGAGGTCGAATCGGGAGAGGTTAACCTGAAGAATGCAGCAAAATGAACAAAACATATTCTGGAAAAGCCTGAATCAATGCCTGGCTAGAGTGTGAGCAACAGGTTTTGGCTTGACGTCCATCTTGAACACTGCCATAGAATGCGTGCAACAACATAAGGAGCGCAGGCGCTATGATGCCTTTGGCTCATACTGCCAGAGCACATGCCCAACCAACTCCACCCCCCCTGGCTCCTCCCTCCCTCTCATATTGCACCAACATGCGCAAGATAGCAAATCAAAATCTAGAAATCAAAGGGTCCTTTCTACCCCTCTTGACAATCAGCATTGAAGAATGGGTTGGTTCGGTGTGTCCCATTCCTGTGTTGGGCTGCAACATCTACACGCTTGGCTACTGTGTGGTTGATGTTATCGTCTGTGTTGAACCAGTCCATACCCTCTTGCTGCTCGACACTTCAACTTCATCACACTTTCTAGACAAATTCGCTATCGCCGGATCTGCCACAGGAATCAACTAGGCCACAGTTTGCACATCAATTTGGATCCTCTCCATCCGTCCCAATATTTGTCAGTCAGAATTAGCTGCAACTACAATAACGCATACAAGATAACATACGATCATGACAAGATGAACACAAGCACAACAACACAGGCATAAATGTAGAATATTATCTGAGAGGAAAATAATGATCAAAAGGCGGCTTTCTTGTCCTGGGTCCAAATCAAGCAGTGGGTGGCCTTCTGCAACACAGATTGTACAAAACCTGGCTAAACAGTAGCATTCCACTGCCATTCCTGCAATGCCTAGAGAATTTCGTTGCCAGCAAGGCGAACCCAATATGCGTACTCATGGGTTTCATTTGTGAACTGTATGAATCTGATGCCATATGCCTAGTTATGGATTACATGATTCTTATTTTGACATTTCTCCATCAAACACTCCCAGTTTCATTGGCACAGTTCCAAAATGCAGAATCACTCAGGGGTTGTTCGATGCCAGGAAATGGCGTTGTGCACACAGACTCCACTTATTAGGCAGAGCAGAAAACGAAGATTCTGATGCAACAATGCTCTAATCGTTTGCCCACCTGGGTGCTGGCACTCTCAGATATGGTAATGAAGAGGTTTGCAAGCCACAGGTTCACTGCATCGTCTTCAAACCGACTGCAGTCTGGAAATGTGGTGAGGCTGCATTTCGACTCTGCGAGCAAATTCAGACCAGATTACGTTCTGGAACATTCCAATCCACCAAAAAATGGCAGCTAGCCAAGGCCTGGCTGGGCCTCCAAAAGATGCCAGCAGGAGAGTATTTCCATTATGAACGCGAAACAACAGGTTTGGAGCAGCGCAGTGCAACGCCAGTCCTAAATGAGTCGGTATTGTGTGGAAAATTGTGAGCATATCTGTTGGTACAGACAGCCCGAGCAGAGTACCGCCACGAAGCTGTTCACATACGGATCACACACGTTCACACCGCGGTCACATGGCGCCCGCTGGGCGAAGTTGCTGCGTTCTACGTTCAACCAGGAAGCGCGCGGCACAGAGCTGCACTGGCCTTGTGCCATGTGCTTTCCTGCTGCACTGGCAAGCTTGCGCATCAGGCTTCGACAGCGTGGGAATGAGCCTGCAGACATTTTCGGAGGGGTGCAGCCGTGGTCTCACGATTCTTCGCCACAACTCGTGCTGCGAAGTGCACGCACTGCGAGTCCCTCGTCGAATCCCTTTAAAAACACTGGCGCCGTCTTGCGATCCGACTCCATCACGGTGTCGATTGTCGCTGCACGCACGGGACGCGTGCATTCACTCGTGTGCAAGGAAAGAGCCACCGCGAGCCACACTCTGCAACAACGCGACTCAACAAAGGGGGACGACGGTCAAATCCGCGCCCAAGACATGCCCCTGCCTCCCCGCACCTGTGCTGTTTGCCACGCTGGGCGCCTCGAACGTCGTGCCGTTCAGCGCCGCGAGGATGGGCGATATGTCGCTGGCGTTGGCCCCCCGGCAGAAGTTCGTCCAGGCCCCGGGCGGCGGTGGCGGCACGGCGAGGATCGACGTCCGGTTGCTGATGTCGTCCCTCTGAAAAGCACGCGCGCCCATCAAACCCAGCCGCTGGCGAGAAGGCGACGGCAAGAGGCGGCGAGGAGGCGGGGCGGCGCTCCCGGCAGGATCTTGCAAGCGGGCGTTTCGCTCATGATTCTCTTCCCTCCGACCGCAGGCGCGCGGGGATCACCCCACCCCCTCCGCGAGCAGCGCATCCGACGCCTTCCTTGCGCGAATGGCCCCCACGACGTACGTGCCCCGCCTTTGCGCCGACAGCACGTGGCCGAGCAATCGAGATCGAACCTCCGAGCGGAGCCAAGAAAAAATGTCCCCGGTCCTTTGCCGCGCAGGCTCGATGCGGGTGTGGTGAATCGGGGCGCTCACCCTCGCGGCGTCCGTCTCCCGGCCGCTCAGAACGTCCAGCACGTCGCGCGCCACGCCCATCCGGACCAGCTCCCCCGCGTCGGGGTGGTCGTTCACCGGCCCCTCGGCATCCGACTGGCCCAGGGCGCCGCTCGCGACCGCCAGCGCCAGCAGGCACGCAATCATCGCGGCCGGGCGCATCATCGCCCTCTGGGGAGACCTGGCGACGGAAGAGGGTTGCGAGACCCCGACCGAAGTTTGGCTGCCCTAGCTGCCTGCCTGCGGCGCGGGCGGCTGCGCGGCCCTGGCGGCTTGTGTACCGCGGGAGGGGGCGCTGCGGGCTTTGGCGCTCGGGCGGGTCGAGGGAAAATGTACAGTGGGCAGCAAGGGCTGTGCCGTCGAACGGATGTTCTGTCGTACCTTCGAAGAAGCGGTCGGGTATGTGTTAGTAATGGGTCGCTCGCGTCCTAATGTACGTCGTCGCCAGCGTCTTCAGTGCGGTCGGTGGAACGCCGTAAAACGGAGCCTTTTGCAGCCGCTGGATCGAAACCGCAAAGGTAACCTGCAGGATGCGAGGCCTCCGCATCGCGGCTATCATCGAGTGACGCAGACAGCCCTCGCAGCAGATTTGTCTGCCCTCTGCCGTCCTTGCGCCTTGAAGCGCCTCGAAGCACCATCCATGTCTGCACTGAACTGCCATGATGGCTGCCATTTCTGGCGTGGTGCAAGCGCATTGATGCCAATGCGGGCTGGTGAGACGTCTGCGGAGGGGAAGGCCGTTACGCTCCAATCTGATGGCGGTGAAGCTTCGGCAACACGGATGCAGTCGGGTGCGTCCCTGTGCAAAGAGGAAGAAGACAATGCAAAGGAAAAAACAGTGCACCAAGTGAGGATCGAACTCACGACCTCCGGATTTCTCATCATTGTGTGTTATGAGACCGACGCGCTAACCAGCTGCGCCATTGGTGCACGACAATTGTACCTGTAATCAGAGTATAATACTATAAGCAATGACTCCCACATTTGTCCCACTCGTCTTCCGGCAAAAATCGGCATATCTGTGGCTGGCACAGTTTTCTCCACTGGCCTCTTGCTCGGCTGCACGCAGGCAGTAGAGAGTTGACCCCACAGCTGATGGGGTGAGCGACACATGCCACTGCCTCGGCGGCATCGCAGCGGGGCGCGGATGCCTGGTTTGCTGGCGCGTGGCGCAGCTCGTGCAACGCAATCTTGGTGAACGCGTCATGGCCGTTAGAATGCAATGGCGCTGCTTTGTCCTCTGCAAGGACATGCAGGCCAGAATCATTGAAAGCTAGCGCCACCAGTGCATCCGGGGCAGAGAACAGCGTGGCGACGCAGCTGGTCGATTGTGCGAAACCAGTGGGACGGATGTCAAATGCGGTTAACTCCATATATTCGCATTTTGTCCAGCCTCTTCACATGAAATTCCCATGAGAATGGATGCGCAGCTTTGGCAACCAAAACGATTGCAGGGCACGCAAAGCAAGGATCCAAAGGACTGACCGTGCAATGGGCTCCGCCATCATTTCAGTGCGGTTGATTGCCTCTGGTGCACGCCCTGGTGATGACAGGCGGTTGATTCCATCAATTTTGAATGCCACTTTGCACGTTCACTTGCTGGACGGACGGGTTGCTGCTTGTGTCCACCGCTCAATGCAATCTTCCTGAGTCTTCGCTGTTTCAACCTTCATACGAAACTGCTGCTTGGCAGATTGACACTTTAAAATAATGCAATACGCCCCGCGCGGTATGACAAGCCATCAGTGCCACTGTCAAGGAACACCACCTCATCGTCCATGCCTGCCTTCTGGTCAGCAGAACGCATGGTCGGCTAATCCATTCGCCATTTGGCTGGCTCTGAACGTGAGAACGATGACCACTGCAGCACTGCTCGCATACCAATCCCCATCCACAAGGCGCGGGCTGCAGGCTTCACTTCTACTGATGCAGCGCACTAGCCTTGAGGAGCAAATTCTACAGGTCAGCTGCTCTTAGCTATGCATCACGAACATTGTTTCATACCCAGAAGTGCCACAACTCTTCCCCAAACTCCTCCCCTCACCCCGACCCCTATCCCCTACCCCACACTACACACCCACCACACCCTACCCCACAAGCCTCAGTATCGGAGCTCAAGCTGCCACCAAACGATGAGCTTGAAAGTGTCGTTCACTTGTTCGATCTCCCATCGTCCTCTATCCCGCACCCATTTTACTTGCTCAGGCACCTGTGGCTGTGCTACAAACGAATTAAAAAGCAATCCTATCGATTACTTCTCAAACCTGTCCCTGCTGGCCCAATTTTATCGCTAAACCCCAACCGCCCCCCTTACGATGGTTGTGGCGCCAAAACCAAACTGACAAATTCCATTGTGCCCCATCCGCGCATCCACATCAACCTAGCCCAGCACAGGCATCCTAATGCCTAAAGCGGGCTCCAGTCAAGCACTTCTCCAGTGGCTGCGCCTGGCTAGCGATCATTTGGCAACCCCCGTTCAACCATCCGAGCCTGCCCAAACAAACCACTACATCAATAAATTGATCCATGGTGCAGAAGACAGTCCCCTCCCTGGCCTTGCATCCTGACCATGGCCCGAGCTCCCAGGCGTACATGTCTTCCCTCACTTGGAAGATTGTTGCATTGCCGCCCTCAGCTTGAGTTGCGAGTACCACACCATGCCCACCAAAGACACCCCCACACCCAACAGCTTCTTTGGAGGCATCTCGTCACCGAAGAACAAGACGCCCCCAGTGAGGATGATTATGGTCTTCATGTGGCCCACCACGTTGTAGGTCAGGCTGCTCGTGGCGCCGATCACAAGGAAGGTGCTGAGGCTCACCAGCAGGCCCAGGGCAGCGCTGATAAATATGGCGCACACAGCCCCAGCGCTGTACCTGCACATGGGTAGGAAGTGTGCTGGTTGACTGGCAAGAATGGGGGTTGAGATCCACCAAGGCTAGCAAAGATCCAGGATGGCATGGTACAGCAAAGTTTGTGGGGAAACAGGATTGGAGAACGGTGCTGCCGGGCAGCTTGTTCTTGGGGCAATGCGAACTCTGCCGTTGACTCTGGGAGGCGAGGCAAAGAGTGGTTGGGACACAGGCAAGACCGCGGCGCACGTAGTTCACGCACGGGAAGCAGCGGCGACCAGCGGTGCAGGTCTCTGGCGCTGGAAAACCAGAGCGCTTTGCTGCTCAGCTGGACAGGATCGAGACCACCGACAGGCAACCAGCCCCGCGCCCCTTGCCGGCGCAGTGGAGCTCCCCTCTTTAACAGGTCAGGTGATCAGAGCCCTCCAGCCCTGCAAATGTCGCTGCGGCGCGCCCAAGACATCCCAAGACATCCCAGGTTTCCCTCCCAGGTTTCCCCCCCCGGCCTCCCCGTCGCAAGACGTCGCGAATTCAGGCCGGACCAACCCCCCGCTCAAAAGCGTCAGTCGCGGCCCCCTCCGATTCCCTCACGGCGTCCCCCGCGACCACAGGCCCGCGGGCGCTGGGAAGTCCCCAACAGGGGGCCAGACCATTGTACCCCATTCAGCCCACCTGTAGCCCAGGAGCGTGCCCTCCCCCGCCTCCCGCCACCCCACGGGCTCCAGGATCGGCACCAGCACGCCCAGCAGCAGCGCCGCCTGTGGCGCGAACTCGTTCAGCAGCTGCATGCTGCTGGCCTGCAGCTCCTTCTGCTTGGTGCCCGCGAAGATCTGATACATCGCCGTGGAGGTCACGGCGCCCAGGCCCACCAGGAGCCCCATGGCGTTGGTGGCCACCTGGCTGTCTGTCACGGTAGCGAGCCCGATGCCCGCGCAGACCACCACCACGGATAGCACCACCTGGAGGCTGGCGCGCTTGCCGAACAGCACGGCCTCCAGGCCCAGCACGGCCGGCGCCACGGCGATCTTGGAGATCTGGTAGAAGCCTACAGTGTTGATGTTGAGGTTGAGGTTGCACAGCACGATGTAGGCCACGAAGGCGGCGGCCAGGGGCAGGAGGCGCATCTTGGGCAGGTCCCTGTGCTCGAACATGCCGGCGCGCAGGAAGATGCGCATGCCGACGATGGTGAAGAGCGTGTGGATCCAGGTGAGGGCGATGGTGAAGTGAAAGCCGTAGACCTGGAAGACGGTCTTGTTGGCGAAGACGATGCCGGAGGCGGTGACGATGTTGAGCAGGCCGTAGGCCGCGGGGCGCAGGATCTCGACCATGCCGACCGCGTCGCTGCCGCGGGGGGAGGGGGTGCCCGCGGCGCGCGACAGCGGAGCTTGGCGCGCCGAGGTGCCTGGGGCCGTGGCTTGGGGGGTGGGTGGGCGCCCAGGCGCGCTTTTTTAACCGACGGGGAGCGCAGGGAGCAATTTTTGGTGCGGGTGGGCGAGGGGGATATTCCGCCAGCGCTGGGATTGTCAACGAGGGTGAGGAAGGGGCCTTGGTGTTCTAACTTCAGCCCCTCTTTAACTTCTGAGAGCATCTTTATCGGTCGGCGCTATTGTTCCGGCGGAGCTATTCGGCTATCCGAATAGCTCCGCACGTCAAAAAACCATCATTAACGGTTGGGGAGCAATAACTCCCCAATAGCTCCCCCGGAGCTATTCGGCGCCCAGCGGTGCTATTCGGGGCCAGAATAGCTCCGCTCGAGACCGAATAGCTCCCCAGAATAGCACCGGTGCTATTCACGCAGCACTTGGCGGCGGCTGCTTGGAACAACGCGGAGGGGCCTTAGTACAGCGGAGGGGCCTTGGGACAGCCGAACCATGCAAATAGCACCCCCCGTTACGGATGCCCATGGGGTGCTATTGCTCCCCAAGGCATCCACCGTTACGGATGCACGCCCGGTGCTATTGCTCCTGTTCGGGGCACCAATAAATGGAGCCGATCTATATGAATAGATGGCTGCCATGCCACAAGAAATGTTATGCGAATACTACCAAGCTGGTGCCCCGTGAGGCCCAGAATTCCAGGCCAGGTTGGCCTCAGTCGACAGTTCGCAAACAGACCGGTGGGGTACCCCTCAAGCAGCCTACCATGAGGCCACAGGGAACCCACAGGGGCCGTCAGGGCCCGGATGTACGCCGCCAGGTGGACAACTGTCACGTAAACCCGCCCAGCTATTCACCCACTGCGCGGGAAGCACCCAGGAAGCACCAAGGCCTGTGAGGCCCGCACCCAACGCCAGCCACCTGCATGCCCAGCGACTGGCTGAAACGCTGCGCGCGTGCCAAGCGACCGACCCGAATGGATCAGGGGCACCTGCCGATGGGCCCTGCGTCGAAAGATTGGAGCAATGCCCGTTGATCGGGCAGTTCTGCCCATGGGAACCCATGGGACTCCGCGGAGGGGGTCGCAGCCGCACGGCGGCGAAGACAATCCCAAGGGGATTGCTTGGAGGTGGCCGGGGGGATCCGGAGGCAAGGGGCAGAGTTCCCTTTCTGCCCGGGCAGCACACTTACAGAGGGGTGCTCGAGAGAGAGCGCCCCCCAAAGGTGGATGTGGGAATGGATGGCGATGGTGGTCCGGAGGCGTTTCCGGAACGGGGGGGATCTTTCCGGAAAAAACGAGCCGGCCATTCTACGGAGGGGGGCCTTGCGCCCAACCCTGCCGGGGGGGTTTGCTCGCAAAGGCCGCCTTGAGGAAACGCGCCGACCCGATGGCGGGCCGGAGGGGGGGCAAGGGGGTGCGAGTGCGGAGAGTGAGGTGGTGGGGGGCGCCTGTACCGCCGAGCGCTGACTCAGCGGGGCGCCCGGGGGAATTTGCGATACGCGTACGTATCGGGCAGGAATCGGGCGCTGTCACGTCGCCCTGTATGCTAGGCGACTGTATGCGAACTGGCACGTGGGGTTCTGATTGCAGTCAGGCATGGAGACTCATTATGGGTTGAAAGACATCATTATGAGATTCTGATGACACAGATCGATTGCAAATTCAATTTGCAATTGAATGGTACAAGATTTATGTTTTTCTGATAAGTTCTGGAAAATCTAGGGTCCTAGAAAGAACAAAATAAGTGGACCCTAAGAAACAACATTTGTTTCCGATGGACTTTTGAGGGTTTTTAGGATTGAAAAGCTAGGTGTTGCTGGAAAGAAACAGTGGTTAAAGCATTTTAGGGATAGTGGAGACTGCTGTCAAGTGTAGCTTTGAGATAGGTTAGTTTGTGATGAGATATGCGCGGATTTGGGCATGCCATGCGAGATCTCCGCGGATTGCGCCACCATGGCTGTGTCGCTGGACGACAACGGCCTGGAAGGGCGAACGTCAGTTGTGTTTGCATGGCGAAGGGACCTGGGGTTTCCGTCCCTCCAGGATGTCAAGGATCTGTCGTCGGAGCTGGAAGAATTCCAGGAGAATCGAGTGAATACTCCTGGAGTTCGAGTGCACACCGTCCTGGGTGACGGAAGGACGGTGTGGGACGTTGAATGGAAGAGAGCCAACGATCTGCAGACGATATTGCTGCAGGAGTGGGACACTGCCCTTGTCCGAGACCTCAAGCTGTGCGATGTTATCAAGGATGCCACAGCAACCTTTGAAATGCTGTTTGACATACGAGATTTCCCGCCACTTCTCAAGTCCGAGATCCTCTACGGACTTGAGTCTATGGCATATCGAGGCATGGAACCGTCCTGGAGAGTGGCGGCTAGGGAGATTGAAGCGGCGTCTGTCAGAATGGAACAGAATACACCTATTCTTTGGCGGGCGAAGACAATCGTACGCAACAAGCTGGTTGTGTCGGAGGAGCGGGTTTTGGCTGAGCTGTTTGCTCAGCGAATCCAAGCCAAGACGATCAGAGAGGCCTTTGACATGGACGAAGAAGTGAAGGCGCTGCGACAGGAGTCCCGTCAAATGGAAGACATTCTTCTTGGACCAGTTCCTATGGCGGTTGCGACACCCTCTCTGGTCGAAGCCATCGACGAGTTCCACCAAAGACAGCGGGAAATCGATGAACTCAAGGCCAAGGACGACCTGAAGGTAGAAGTGGTGAATTGGCTTGCCAAGAAGGGACCTCGGCCCCTTGTGGTCAAGCCGAAAGTCTCTCCTGGTGCTGCCCGCCATCCGTGAGGGCATGGCAGCGTGGGGCACATGGAACATGGAGCCCATGCAGGATTCGGTGTGAATGCGGTCAGATTTGATGGATACGCTGATAGCGACATGTTGAGCGAGCGGGGGTTGTGTGGTACACTTTGTTTAACTGTCATTTCAAGTGAAAGGACTTGACGAAATATTGCACTACGTTTTCTATGAAATTTCATGGTGAATATGAGGTACTAGGAACCCCAGATCCGGAATCTTCCAAGTCAGCAGCGGCAACATGATGGTACTAGGGTTTGGCGGAACTTTAAGTGAAAAAATCTAGTGGGAATCAGTGTCCAATGTGTACACTATGGAACATATGGGGTGACTGGACACTAGGTGGAGGATTTGGTTGGATTTGGACGGCCCATAGGTGCTGTACGCTGATGGGACTTTAAATGCTGAAAAGTTTTGATGTGAATAACAAGAGGCATTACAAGAGGGATAGTAGGGAATCTTCTGAGGCATATTCTGCGGTGTGTGTGGCTGAGAATGAATGCGAACTTGTATATAATCCGACGAGCTGGCAATGTAGGCTGCTCTCGGTCTGTAACTCGTTTTGGTTACGGCCGCTGCAGCCAGCCAGGCCTCCTCACCGGCTGAGGAGAGGACCTGCGAGGCCAAGTGAGTATCCCTTTCGAGGGAGGGACTCAGGCCCTGTGTGCGACTGGCGTGAGGCGATCGGCCTGTGCGTTTCTGACCGTTTCGTCGATCGAATTCGCCCCCATTCGACTGGGTTCAAGTCGATTCTTCACTGCTGCCCTCCGGAGAGGTCTGGCCATGGCGTGGCCACGATCTTGTCATGGTTTTGGAGCATGGGTATGCATTCTGGGGCTGGTCGTCACGTCATGGGGAATGGTCTCGTCATATACGGTTGAGGATGTGTCTGAACCTGCCAGAAGTCCATCAGTTTCTGACGACGATTTCGAGGCTACAGGTGTGAGTGCAGACGGCATGGACAAGTCGAGTATACCCCTGCTCATGGGGGGTGATGATGCTGGAGAAGATCGGCGCATAACGGCGCTGATCCATGACAACGCAGCTGCTCGTGAAGAGCTGCGTCGTCAGCGTTTAGCCATGAAGGAGATGAGCGACAAGATGTCGACTCTGATCCTGGCTGTGAAGGAGGAGAGTTCCAAGGGTCCGAGTAGGAAATCGCTGCTACGTCGGGCATGGGACGGACTGTGGGGTGTTGAAAAGGACTGGATAGTTGAAGAGCTGGTGATTGACGAGGATTCGTCGAGAAGCAATATGACATCAGCTTCAGAGACGGGCACTGAACCACCACACCCGGAGTTGACGCGTACTGTGACGTCCATTGTGAATTGTACGTCTGTCAGGACGTGCATCTTGTACATGGTGGATGCGGCGTTATGTGCACCTTCAGGATTTGTCAGCAATCCGTATGGATACATGCTGCAATCCCTCAACACCATGAACACTGTGGCAAGAGGGAACATGGATATCCTGGGGCAGATCATCGCTGGAATTGTTGCTGTTACGCGCACCAGCCTGATGTGGGAGACGTCCTACTAATGGCCCTTGGTGTGGGGGACGCCCTGCCCAAGGCACGTACTATTCCTCACCCACTGTAACCTTTATCCATATTAGGATACGGGAGTAGGAGGGGTGGTCCCGCCTAGGTGCCCTGTAAGGACCTAGGTGCCCGGCGAGGCGGGTCCGCTGCTCAAAGAGGGCAGGAACCCCACACCCACATCCTATTCGTAACAATTGGTTTCGGAGCCGCCTGAGGGTGGCGGCCACGCTTCCACCTGGGAGCGCGCGAGAGTACAAGACGCCGAAGCCCTTCCCCGGCCTCCTCCATGGAGGCTGAGGAATCGGAAGAACAAGCCCGGGATGGGCAGGGGGAAGGACAAGCCCGGATGGGCAGGCGATCGATACAGCCCGGGATGGGCAAGGAACTGAACAAGCCCGGGATGGGCCAGGAGGTGTAACAGTCCGGGAGGACATGGCTGGACCCTCCACAGCCACATCGGCACCCGCAACAGAAGATGAGCCGATGGAAGAAGTGGATACCCCGCCGGCGGCGGAGAAGACACAGGAGCAAGACCAGGACGCTGAGGCGGCGGCGACGTTGCTGAAGATCCCTGGTATCAAAGAGCTCCTGCAGAAGATGGCGGAT